ACTCATGAGTGCCAATGCTGAATGTCACCAGAAACTCTAATGTTAATCTCAGAATAGATTGCATAAAAGCAATGGTGGGATAGTTTTTCTGCTGTATGTTCCTAGTAATGCTGACAGATACTGTCCTGGAGGGACTGCCACATGCTGGATTTAGCTGCCAGCTAGAGGAGTGTTGCATTTTGCAACAAATCTGCCTGTGCAAAACCTCCTTGTTTGGTCTGTCAACTAAACAGGCTCCCAAAGTAAGAAGTCATAATTGACTTGCCAGAACATTTAATTCCATAGGGAATTTGCAGAAATAAGTAGGAGGCAAATTTTACCACTAACTTCCCAACTTCTCTGTATTTTATGCCTGACTGCACCTAAAAATGCAGAGTAACTTTAAAAAAGATGCAATTTTAAACAAATAATAATTTGGAAGGCTATATACTTGGCTTCTGCTTTTTGAGCTTCTTAATTTAATTAATTTTCAAACTTTTATCTGCAAATAGAAGGACTAAGAAAATCAAGATGATGTTTTAAATGAAAGCTGAGAATTTCACATAATCATATGGCTCTGGGGGGTTTGAGGTTTCAGAATAAACTCATGAGTGCCAATGCTGAATGTCACCAGAAACTCTAATGTTAATCTCAGAATAGATTGCATAAAAGCAATGGTGGGATAGTTTTTCTGCTGTATGTTCCTAGTAATGCTGACAGATACTGTCCTGGAGGGACTGCCACATGCTGGATTTAGCTGCCAGCTAGAGGAGTGTTGCATTTTGCAACAAATCTGCCTGTGCAAAACCTCCTTGTTTGGTCTGTCAACTAAACAGGCTCCCAAAGTAAGAAGTCATAATTGACTTGCCAGAACATTTAATTCCATAGGGAATTTGCAGAAATAAGTAGGAGGCAAATTTTACCACTAACTTCCCAACTTCTCTGTATTTTATGCCTGACTGCATTGTGATGCATTATTGCATTGTGTGTTATTTCAGGCTGTTAGTGTCTCCCTCTCACAGACTGCCTTAGATTTTACCATCATCTCCCAGCAGGACTTGGGTGAACCTCTCAGCCTGGTTGTGTTCCAGGGATATAATCTATACTGCACTGATAGCTGACACAGGCTCAACAGCTAGTACTTTAGGCAATGTAGTCTGTAGTGAACAGAGAATTACTAAATTTGATAAGATAATTGATATAGAAACAAAACAGGAGGCTGCTTTTCCAGCAGAAACAGGCTTGGCTGCTTTGTATCCTTGCTTATTGTTAGGCTATCTGAAAGGACTCTGATCTGCAAGGCAGCCTAAACCTGATTTCAATAACAAAACACTGACACCGAGGTTTAGCATGCAAATATCCAATACTTAACAACAATAAAACCCAGCATTTGTGTAAGTCAGTTCGGTGCTTCACCAGGCTGAAAAGAAACCTTATTTCAAATTTGGGTTTTTTTTAGTGCAAGAACATGCCTGACAGGAACACACTCTTTTCAGTGCCCACCTTCTCCAAGTATGTTAGTGTTATCTTCCTAAGTCATTTTCTAAAACTAAAAATGAACACAAAAATAAAATATCTCGCTGGGAAATGCCCAAGGCTCAGCCCTACAAATATGTAAAACCTCACTCTGGAGGAAACGTATAACTTCTACTTGTAGCTACAGTACAGATAGATGTGAAGCATTTGAAAGGATAAGAGTGTTATGCTGCTGTGTAGTCCCTGAGGAACATCAAATATTTCCATCATTTTCCTAATGTTTCAAGTAAGTCAAGCCACTACAAACTGCATCTAGTGTATAAGTACAATGTACATTTATACTGAAAGCAAATGCATCAGTGTATCATGGGGGAGTCGGTCACTCTACACTTGTGTCACTAACCACACACCCTCACTGTGCCTGCTCTCTTGACCTCTCCCCAGTTTTTCCTCTTTCTCTACTTTTTGTGCCAGGAATTTGGTGGCTTTCTGCATCTCAAGGGCTTAAGCAGCAAGCAAGCTACAGCTGTAACCTCAATTAATTCCCAAGCAAACCTTCATCCTCCATTACATCATCAAGGACCTTGCTAGGTCAAAGATGTTCAGGGGGAGTTCTGGCATGATTTTTATTACTTAATCAAAGTGCCTTTTGGTTTTTTTTTTTTGTTTTTTTTTGTTTGTTTGTTTAAAATCATTATTCTAACTAGAGAGTGGACTGATAACCAATTCAGAAACTTAGAATATTACTTAAGACTGGAACTGCTGCAGCGTTTATCTGCACTAATAGGAAGAAACAAGTTGTGTTGGGAAGTTTCTTTTGCATGGAAAAAACAACTTATTCATTACATGATGAGTTACTAGATGCCACTGATTGAGGGCTAAATCATAGCTATCACTATTCTGAGGGAGCAAACACTTGTCAAGATAAAGACTGTATTAGGTGGGGCACGTTGCTTTGTTTCTAAACAGTGGCTGCTTGGAGGTTTAGAGTGTCAAAGCGATGTCAGCAGCGATGGATTAGTGGGCAGAAAGCAAGTGGTGCAGTCAAAGGTTCACAGTGGATGTAATCTATTCACATAGTGCAGCAATTTATCACGTGGCTATTACCATAACGTACATAGGAAGCAGCCGTGTGTGTGCACATAATGCCCTAAATGTATGTGTGGTTGGACCTGAACTCCTTACAGAAGAGTAGTGATTGAAAATTATACCATAAGGCATTTAAAAGGAAATTTCCTTCCTGTGGGGATGCTGTCACACAGCTATGATTATCTGTACACAGGCAAGTAAATACCTCGTAGACTTTTCTCAGTTATTATGACCTCACTTACCAGAACTCTTTGCTTTTTCAAATCTATATTATGTAGGTAATGTGATGTACATTTTCAGTGCTTTATTAATAGGTGTAAGTACATGTTTTCCATCTCAAACTCACATTTTCCAGTCAAGGAATACTGTATTTTCAACTGGATTTAACAGAAATATTCAGTGGCAAAGAAAACTAGTTCTCCATAATTGTGAGGAGAAACAAGTTACCTACAAACTGAAGATTTTCTTTAACTTGAATGACCTCTTATTGCATGATCTATCAAACACTCGGGAGCAGCAGAGCTGTAAAAGGTTTATGTATCTAGTGTCTGCCTGATTTCTCATACCTGCACAATTATTTTTTAAGCCAAACATTTTCAAAACTGGTTCCCAATTTTAGAAGCATCTAAATTACAGAGATTGACTTTATTCTCCTAGTTGGCTTGAATGCCTACAGATTCAGTCACAGAAGAAAGTGTAAGTAATTGGTGGAGCTGGCCCCCACCTGAAGGTGTTTCTTTCCACGCTGACCGTTTTTGGAGGTATGGATCTCTTGGAGTGCACCTCCTGCATCTGGCAGCAAGGTTCCAGCAATGCTACCCCCCTGTGAATGTGGGGACTTGCTGGAAAAATTCCACTACCTGTAAGGGTTATGCCCTTGACCACAAAAAAAGATGGCTCCCCTAAAACTATTTCAACATATAAGGGCAACTAAATGGACACCACTCCTGCACGGTGCCTCTGGCACCTGGAACCGTCAAGACCTGAGACGCTGGCTCCTTGCTGAAGGGGTATGCAGTAGCTGAGCCCTGGGGGAGCCGCTGCCCACGCGGTGTGTGCCTGCTGCCCACGCAGTGTGTGCCTGCTGCCCTCCAGCCCAGGAGCCGTCACTTCTGCTGCCTTCAATGCATAAGAACCTCATCTGCTAATCTTCCCTGCTTTTCTCTCTCTTGATAGAATTCACTCCCTGTACTCACACACACAACGGCAACCCCAAGAGGGGGGGAAACTGCGCCGCGTTCTAAATCACATTCCTTTACCATAACGATCTTCACCTTATCAGTGGCTTCTACTATAGTTATATATTTGCATATGTTTGTTTTGTTGATAAAGTATCAACACGTATAAACCCCCCAATCTGTGTCTTCATTCCATTTTTAAGCAGAAGTGTGCACTACCTCTGGAGATGCGCTTCAGCAGGTATCAACTGAAGCAAAGGGGAGGGGTTAACTGTTTGAATCCCTCGTGTTCTCTTGTTGAACCCTTACACTAGCCCAGCTCCCACCACCACTTTTTAAGCTTCCACAGTTTGAGTTTATAAGAATGGTCTTATGGTTGGAAATTATGCTGAACTACCATGCTATGATACTTTCAGGTGATGGTATTGAACAAATTCAGTCAAGTCTTACATAAGCCAGGCAAACGCACCCCAGTTACAGGTTATTGCACTAGGATTTTTAGGCTGATTGTTTTTTTTAAGTCATTAGGAGTTGATGTAGAGAGATACTGAATTCAGACCAAGTCAAGTTAGGTTCTCAAAACCAGAACATTTCATTGCCCAGCTTAATGTACTGCTCAGCATTTTGAGTAGAACCTTTCACATTTGTAGTATTGTTATGGTTTGGGAGACCCTGGACACCTATAGAGAGAGAGGGTCCTTAGGACCTTGAAAGACTGGAAAGGGTCAGTATTCCCACCCACTTCCTGTCACAATCTATAAAATTCAGGAGAGCCAGAAACCGCCTTCTTCTCGCTCCCTGCTCCTTTCTCCCTTCTGGGGCTGCTGCAGGTTCCTTCCGTTTCCCATGTGCTTGCCCCAGAATCCAACTGCATTGGGTACTGTGAGGAGCCGTGGACCTCTCCCCTGAAGTGGCCCTGCTTTTCTCATATCCCTGTGATCATCAAGATCGGTTTTGTATACAAATACTTAGCTGTTCTTGCCCCACGTTTTACCCTTTTACCTTGTGTTAGAGTAAATTTGTTTCTAGTTTCAATTTCTAAAGTTTAAGTCTCTCTTCCTTTTTCCCCTTCTATCTTCCCTTGGGAAGCTGGAGGGGGGGGTAATAGAGAGCAATTCTATCCTCTGGTTTTTGGTATTCAGTTTTCATATTTAAACCAGAACAAGCATGATGCTGATTTTTATGGATAATTGCATGTGAGCTACAGGGCTTCCATTCTGAAATCATCTATTAGAAATATATACCCACTAATAGTGCAAAATTAAAAGCTTGCCTTACCATTGCACAGAATGTCTCAGGAGGATCTCCACACGTTATGTCCGGGGGATCGAGAGTCACTTTTACGTATTTGATCATGTCTCTGGCTTCTGGCTGGCAGGCCATGTAATCCCATACTTTTCCTTCTTCTGTGTAAATCTGAGTCTTGCACACGTCATAGTGTCCCCACACGGAAGGGTAGTGCTGCATCATGGAGGATACGGTAACCCAGAGGGCATGAAGTGAGAGGAATCTTGACAAATACATTTCTAAATCCTTTTATGTCACCGTTGAAAGGATGCTTGGTACTGGAGTATGTGCAGTCTATAGATTATATGTATGTGTACATATACATGTATATATTTTATAAAATAGGTTCCAACTTAAACATGAAGCATTAGGATAGAGTTTTTGTTTCACTAAGTTGAAGACTTTGGTAGAAGCCACCCAGACCCTGATGACAGCTTTTCACAGCAATGCAGCTCTTGTGCTTTGTCTTACAGCATATCTGTTAGGGCTTCTTGTAAAATATGTCCAAGAGCAGATAATAATTTGTGAAGTTGCAGGTCTTCAGTTACACTGTCGATAACCCTGAGTGATCCTCCATGTTCAGGACTCACAGGGGATGCCCAGATGCACTGATAAATCAGTATCCCAAGCAAAAGGATGAGTTTTTACAGGCTGGTGTCTGTTTCCCATCAATCATTGTTTTCTTCTGGCACCAGGACCCTTTTAGAAACAGTAAGAGCTAGAGTTATTGTCTAAGAATCAATGCATTACAAAATATAATATGTATTGACATTTTGGAGGTTTGATATTATATAAAGCAAATTGGTATAATATGGATAACCTTTACTGTGGGTGCTGTACTAGAATGAATAAACTACCAGAAGCATTCACAGTGAAAAGTATTTTGACATTAAGGATTTAGCCTTCCTCTAACAAAGATATCTATAACATTCCAGGTGAGTTACATGTTTCTGCCTCCAAAACTGCATTTTCACCCTAGCAAAACCAGAGAGCAAAATACTGAATTCAACCATTGCCCAGGTCGTGCAGGCAGGGGAGCAGGCAGCAGCAGGAAAGGTCTTTTG